CTGTAACCTGGAAAAACAGATGTTTCTGTCCACTTGTTGCTCACTCTTTAAACTAAGCAGCCAAAGATCAACACCATGATTCTTCAGGAGTCTCTGTGTTTGTGTCACCTGATGAATGTCAGTCCGATATTCTCTCTCTTCTAGCCCTGTTTTTGGTCTCCACCAACTCCTGAGAGAAATGTCTGTCTCTTTAGCTGCTAAGTGCTCCACTATGTTCAGCAGCTAGACTCTAAAGCAGCATTTATACTTGTGTGTCAGCTCTATGCAGACCCTACACTGTAGCCTATACTGTTAGAGCATTTATACTTTTATACTGTGGAGGTGTGTCTGTGTCACTCTGCAGTTACACCTCCAAAACACTATTCGGTGGAAGTGGTTTCTGTGAAGTGCTGTTAAGTTTAGTTGATTCAAAACACACATTAAACACAGTAAACATGGCTTAATAGAGACAGTTTCAAACACAAATCAGCTTCACTATAACTTGCAGCATTCACAAACACTTGTCTTTATCTGGACACATTTTCCAAACAAATACAACATGCTAACGTTATTAGCACAAGCCTATGGCATTTTACATTGTATAAATTAGCCTAGCAGCTAGCAGAGATTTCCTCTGCTCATATGAAGCCAGGATAAATCACACACACTGTGTGGAGGCTTTATTGTCTTCACAATTTATTGTTTCTTATCTGTGAAATTAAAGTAAATCAAAGCTTTGTTTCCACTGAGGGAAATGGTTTCAGCTCACAGAGACAGACAGGAGGTCTGTGTCACTGTGACGTGTAGTTACATTTCTGGGGAGGTGCACGTCAGGCAGGTTTCATGTGTAGTTGCTAACTACATGTCGCCACAACGTACTGTTCACTAACAGTTAAAGGGTTTATGGAGCTGGTCCTTGTATAAGGAGATTACCATGTTCACTGCCATGTTTCTACAGTAGCCCAAAAGAGACATTCATGTTTTCACGTTCGGTCACTGTAGTTAACAGCCCCTCTGCAACCATCAGCATCAGAAAAACGGTGATTTTTTAAACATGAAACGTCTTTATTCAGAGTTATTACTGGTTTAAATCAGCTGCTGTGTTTGTTCTGGAGAGGAAGAGACCTCTGTGGATAATTCAGCTCCCAGTAAAAACCTGAACAATGAACACTGAGGGAATTATAACCTGGAGAAGTTTCAGCTGGTTGTAATCTGTAATTCTCACCACTAGATGTCACTAAATCTGACACGCTGGGTCTTTAAATGAGCCCAAACAGACTGTAATTCATATAGAAGTCACCTCGCTCTTGTCTTCTTCTTCTTTGCTGTCTTTGTTTGTTGCTTCCTCAGCTGACTCTTCTTTCTGTTTGTCTGCAGAGTTTTTATCCTGACCTTCCTCCTGCTCCTCCTCCTCCTTTCCTCCTGATGAAGATCCCTCTCCTTTCCCTCCTCCCGTTGATCCCTCCTCCTCCTCCTCCTCCTTCTTCTTCTTCTCTTCTTCTCCTCCGGGCTCAGTGCTGATCTTTGGCTCACCTTCTTCATGGGATTCATTTTTCTCAGAACCTGCTGAAGTACCTGTGTCGTCCTCCTTCTCTCCTCCTCCTCCTCCTCCTCCCGTTGTTTTGTCTTCTGGTTCGGTCGGAGAGCTCAGACACAAGTCCCCTCCCTCGATGGCGACGCCGGCATCTTCTCCACTGCTGGACTTCCTGTGGCGGCGGGAAGGAGGGCGTCGCCGGATGGAGTGGCGAGCTCTGCCCTGGAGTAGAACAATTAGGGAGCAGAGAAGGACAGGTGAGGTCATTGCGTTCAGATGCCTCTCCTTGATGATGTCAGCAGACGTATGTTAAGACTCAAGTTTAAAGGCCTGCTGGTTGTTGGTGATAATAAACTGTTCATGATTAATAGTTACAAAGTTTATTGACTCTAAAGGATTAATGCCAGATAAGAAACAGTTGTTTCACATCTCTTTGTGGTAGTTTTGTATCTGTTGTCATTTTGCATCTCTTTGCAATGTCCCCTCAGACAGTCTTAATTGCTAACACAAACAAATTGCTAGCTAACATAGCAAAATACTGAAGATAGTTTTTTGCTACATTAGCTAGCAATTTGTTAATGTGTAATTCGTGATGTAAAGTGTGTCTCAAATCGCATACTTCTGTTAGTAGTACTATGTACACTATGTACTTCTTGTGATAGGGTCGTCTCTCACTGCTGTTTTGCACTTACTTGAAGTAACGATAATTTATTCGCTTCTTATTCTATGTTGTCTTTTTAAGCAGACGTTGCCACAGATGGTGAAGCATTATTGCCAACATTTGACCTTTATCTCCGCCCACACATAAACCAAACTTACGCCACAACGTCAGTGCTGATTAAAATGTGCTGCTGTAGCTAGAAGCGAGTTCACTCGCAAGCTAACGTTGGCACTCCCATTATTGTTGGTGGTACCAAATCATTTCAGGTGAAAAAAACATTACTGACGGCTTCTATTCAATAACAGTTTTGGTACTTAGTGCAAAAAACGTGTAACTAGCAGGCTCCTTGTTGCCGCAATTTCACCAACTGCGAAGTTTGCTTCGTCACAAAGATGGTGACGGTTGAGGGTGAGAAGTGTTCGTCATTCTACACTCAACTTTTGGACTGTTTTGAGTGCACCACTAGAACACTGTATTTTCCTGTACGATGCAGCGTGAACACACCTAGCGCACATGTGCACTTAAAATATGAAGTGATGTGACGGATCTGGCTGGTAAATTACAAAGCTTGTCGTTTGAAAAAAATTTTCTCAGCAAATTTTACAAAGCAACCAACTGCAGATCAGTACAGTGTAGCTTAGGTACAGCTAGCTGGCTAACCTTAGCTTACTTGCTTGCTAATGTTATTGCTAGCAAAACACTATCTGAGTGGATATGTCAGTAGGCTAGCTTGCTAAATTATTTCACCAGCTAATGTGATCCATGATGATAAGTGCTTTCCACTAGCCAGAGGCAATGCAAGGGTGTCCAACGTGCTAACAGTAACCTGAGCTAATGTTTTTAAAGATATTTTTTGGGCATTTTGCCTTTAATTGACAGGACAGTTAAGTGTGAAAGGGGGAGAGAGAGGGGGGATGACATGCAGCAAAGGGCCACAGGCTGGACTCGAACCCGGGCCGCTGCGGCAACAGCCTTGTACATGGGGCGCCTGCTCTATCCACTATGCCACTGACGCCCCGACCTGAGCTAATGTTAGCCATTGGTTGCTTTGTCGACCAATGAAAACAGAACAGACCTTGATGTTGTCGTTTGACAAGATGGATCCCTCTGCCACGGTTGGAGGGGCTTCAAAGGAGACGGGGCCTTCCTCCTCAGATAACGGAGGGACAGCGGCGACAGGGCTGGTGGGGGTGGCGGTGGATGAGGTGGTATCTGCGGTAACCGGGGCGGAGGCGGGGGAAGGCGGGGTGAAGGCAGGCGGCAGCAGCCTGAAGCCGGGGCTCTTTGGAGAGGGCTGCAGGGCTGAGGGAGACAGAGCCAGGTTGGCCTGCACAGAGAGACAGAGAGTGATGTCACAGTGATGTCACAGCGATGTCACAGAGCAGCAGAGGTCACCTGGACTCACCTGGAGCTTCTCGATCAGAGCAGAGTTCCTCTTGGCTTTGGCAGGTAGAGGAGAGGTGACATCTTGAGGCTGCTAACACACACACACACACACACACACACACACAAGACTCTGTTGTTAATATTGTTTAGTTAAAGATTTATTCTATATATATGTACAGTATACTTAAAACAATGTCCCCTCAGACAGTCATGTCTCTGTCTCTGTCTCACCTCCTGATCGTCTCCGTGGGGTTTGGGGATGTGTAAAGAGCGAGGAGGTCGTCGTCTGACCAGCTTCTCCTGGTAAACAAACACACAAACACACAAACCAAACAAGCAAACAAACATCAGTATTAAACGACTGACCTGTTACAGTGTCACAGCAGACTGACAGTCACCAACATGTTCTGGGCTCTCAGCTGTTTAAAACCAGTCACACACACACACAGTGACACTTTGTTCCTGCAGGAAACTGATAAACTGACATTAACACAGTTAATTTGTCATGAGCTGTCAGTCATGTTGAAACACACGTTAACACTTTTCCTGACTTTGCCTCATTTCCTGTTTGTCTTCTTCACATTCTGCCGTTAAAACACTGCAGCTCACTGACACATGACGGAGACATGTTGTTACAGTTATAGCTAAGAAAACAACATAACATTCAAAAAGATTATTATATTTAATAATCTTTTTGAATGGGGGGGGGCAGTATATCAATATTACACTGATATCATGATATGTGACTAGTAAGCTTTACATTGACATGTCAGTTACAACAGCATCATAAAATAACAACCCCTTCAGATTCTTCTCCTTTTTTAGTATAAACACGTCCATTCTGAAAACGATCATCCATTTACAAAACAAATGATGAACAGCCCAAGATATCCTCAGAAACATTATGTGCTTATTCAACAGAATGTCTCAGTTTTTCCACGTTCAGTCAGAATCAAATTTATTGTCATTATACAAGTTGTACAGTGAAATTAGAGGCAATGCCATGAAGTGCTCATAAACACACAGATAAGAAACAGAAAAAACAAATAAATAAATAATATTACATGTGACTTTTTTCAAGCTACTGAAGACGCAGGTTAAGTCGTCCTCTGCCTTACAAACCACCAAGTCTGAAGATTTGATGGTCTTAAATTGCTCCTGAAAGCTCTCAGCCTTCACAAGTGCATCAATATCAGGTGTGAAAAATCATCCAGTGGGTCAGACTGGACCTTTTGGAGGGCCAGTTCTGGCCCCTGGGCCGTATGTTTGACACCCCTGCTCTAGATCCTTTAGGGCCATTCAGTAATCAGTTCATGTTACTGTCAAGTCCGTACCGTCACCTTTTGACTGTGGTGTTGGGCCCGCCCCGTCAGACGTGTGTGTTTATGTGTTTTCTGAAATACAGACGTTAAACTCACCGCTTCATTTCCTGCAGCATCATGTGGACGAGCTGAGTCTTTGAATCTTCCTGCAAGTTCAGCCACAGAGCGCCGGGACGGAGCCTCCTCCTGAGGGAAGGACACAGGACGTCAGGTAAAAACTGACAACGCTGAGTTCTTTCAGGTGTTTGTGCCGGGCGGCAGCACATTGATCTGAGTGCATTATTTCACATGTACAGTATTTTGTAGTAAAAAGACAATTATCTTGAATGTTTTAGAGAAATGATAAAAGCAGTTTGAGCAGGTGAAAGCAGAGATTGACACACAGAGGGAAATAAATGATATGATGGATATGTAAATTAATTTTAAAGTGAAGGTTTGTTTTCTTTATTTCTCTGAATCATGGAGTCTCTCACACTCTAACTCCTGCTGCTGTGATCACTAATGTCCTGATACTTTAACCACCACTCATACCAGTACTACGACCACACTATTGTTGCCACTGCCAGTGCTTGTCCCGCCCTGTGCTGCAGGGTACTTCCTGTCTGTGGTGGCATCTCAGCAGTACTGTGACCATGTTAGGAAGGAAATGTGAGTGTTATCATCAGTGAGGCAGCTGCTCATTAGAGACACAGCTCGGAGACAACATGACAACGTGCCTCACGTGTTTTCTGTTTGATCTAACACATCATGATGTGAGAAGAGTCGAGGCAGAGCTCGAACGTTAACAAACACTAACTGCTGCTAAAACCAGAACATCTTCCTCCGACATGTCTGTGTCTACACCTGTTCAACAAACAGTCAGACACAGTTTGATGCAGCTAAGCTAACAGTCCTCCTGCTGCCTGTCTCTGTGCTAAGCTAAGCTAAACCTGTGTTTATATAAAGCTGGTTAACTACAAACAACTATAACAAGAGCTAGCTCCAAACAGTTTGCATGATGATATTGGATATGAAACAAAAGGACCTAAAACCTTAACCTCGAAGAGACAACATGCAGGGAGTCACAACAATCTCACAAACATGCAGAACTACTTCAGAAAGATGCAAACTGCAAACTAAAGCTAAATGTCCAACGTCCACAAAGAGACGCAAAATGACAACAGAGAAGCAAACGACCACCGATTAATCACAGATATGACCACAGCTACACAAAGTGACTGCAAAGAGACAGAAAACAGCCACAGAGATGCAAAATGACAGCAAAAGGGTGAAAAACAGCCACAAAAAGGAGACTATCTGGGGTGGATTTGCATCTCTGTGGTTATTTAACCACAGAGATGCAAATCCACTCCGGATACACAACATGACATCAAAGAGTTGCAAAAACACCAAATAGGAGACACAAAACAACTACAAAGACTCACAAAACTGTCATAAAGACACCAACAATTACAAGAAGTGCAAAATGAGAACTAAGAGACTCAAAACTGCAAAAAAGAGACAACAAACGACTATGAAGGAATGTGAAATGACCAAAAGAGACTATTTCTACAGAGAGAAGCAATGTGAATGCAAACGGACAGAAAACTGCCACAGAGATGCAAAATGACTGTTAAGAGATGCAAAAACCAGCAAAAAGAGACAAACAGTTACTACAAAGAGATGTAAAATGACCACAAAGAGACACACAAGGACTGTATAGGGATGCAAAACAAAAAAGAGATGGAGAACGACTACTGAGAGACATGAAACTGCCGCAAAGTGACAAACAGCAACCACAGAGGGACGCAAAAACAATCTCAAAGAGATGCAAAATGACCAAAAAGAGACTCAAAACAGCCGCAGAGAGAGGTGCAAAAGGGCCACAGATAGCCACAAAATGGCCACAAAGACAACAATGACTACAAAGAGATGCTAAACGACACAATGAAAGTCAAATCAAACTTGACACAAGACAGACACAACACAACTACAAAGAAATGCAAGACGACCAAAAAAGACTCCCAAAATGACTGCAGAGATGCAGAACAACCACAAAGAGACACAAAACAAGTACAGGGAGATGCAAAATAACCGCAAAAACAATAAAATGGCTACAGAGACAGAAAATTACCATAAGATGCTAAATGACCAAAAAGAGATGAAAACTGACACAAAGAGACATAAAACTGACACAAAGAGACAAACAATGACTGCAGAGAGACTCAAAATGACCAGAAAGAGATGTAAACAGACTACAAAGAGATGTAAAACTACTACTAAGAGACATGAAACTGACACAAAGAGACAAACATTGACTGCAAAGAGACGATCAACGACCAGAAAGAGACTGAAAATGACCTCAAAGTGACACAGAGCTACTACTGCTGCAGTAAGTACTACAACTAATGCTACAGCTGCCACCTGTCTTTATACATGTGTTATAGGTAGACAGGGCCATGATCCCTCACTGGCTTCCCACCAATGAAAACTAAAACATGTAAATCAGACAGCTTTAGTTCAAAACTGTACAGTCAGTCTGAACATGAGGACAGTACAAGTCTATTAAAGGATCACACACACACCACAAACACACACACACCACAAACACACACACACACACACCACAAACACACACACACACCACAAACACACACACACACACAGTGCACACACTCAGCTGTTGACGTGGGGTTGATCCACGTCCATTTCAGCTGAAGGTCTCACATTGCTGACATTCAACAGATAATGAAATCACATTGCCGGGAGGACACACACACACACACACACACACACACACACACATTCCTTCCACAGTGTGTAGTTGACCTATAAACTGGAGGCAGAAACTGAAGAAAAAACAACCGTTAAACCACTTCCTCCTTCTGTGTGTGTGTGTGTTTTCATTCCTGTTATTTTTAAGAACAGCTTCTCTTCATACTTTTTAACATTAAATTATAAACTTCATATTAACGACACAGTTTGGGTTTCTCTAGTTGATGTCTTCAGATCAGTTTCAACCTTTAGATTAATTATCAATAAACACTGTTGTCTTTTTCTTAAACGACTACAGCTCCCATCAGGCTTTGATGCAGAAGCCCTTTTTAAACAGGAATTGTGCAAATTTGCAGGAAAGCCCAATCAGTGTTTTTTCTGCATTGGCAGTATAAAAGCAAAATCGGGGAGTGCAGCAAAATGCCGCCTACCTAGTTTTGTTTATACAGAATGTGCCTTTTTCGGGGCAATGGGGGGCGTGAGCAGGTAACAAAACGTGTAGCTCAGCGTGTGACGTAAACAGTGACGTGGGAGGGAAGCCGCGGCTGGTCAGTCCTTCGGCGATTCTCTCATAAGTCGGCCCGTTCTTCACCGTCCCCGTCATCTGACAGTTAATGGCCTCTTCGTTTGCGAGGACAAGGAGGGCGCGCAATTCCTTGTCTCCCCAGTTGCTCATCTTTACAGTGTCTGTCAGGTTTGTGTTTCCCTCTTGCTACTAGCTGCTCGCTAATTCCTGCTATCAGCTGTTTCCTGTTTATCCACCGCCAGTGGATCGCACGTGCGGCGTCATCAACAGCTCCTCCCACAAGTCTTCAACAGCCCCTCCCGTTGCGGAAGGCCGCCTCGGTCTGTTTCCACCAATATGTCTACCCTACGAGGCAGAAAATTGGGCACCTCGGATCAACTCGCCAATCCGGCTCTGTGTGTCTTAACGCTCGCAGCTTGCCGGCAAAACGGCCCAACATTCGCCGAAAATCTGGTAGTGTAAAAGGGGCTAGTGATGATGATGATGATGACAATGAGGATCAGCTCCTGTTCTATTGGGCTATACTGTGTCGTTTCAAAAGCCCTATTCGGACAGGATTAGTTTTACATAGGGACGTGGGGTTAAGTAATAATTACCAGAGATTTTAGTCCCGTCCAAATGTGCCATGTCAGTAATCATTACCGCACGATGTCAGTAAAGATTACCGCGACTTTTACCTTCTGTAAAAGGGTCCCTGACAATTACCTCAGGTAATACTAATCCCATGCGAATAGACCAGCAGTAAATATGTGTGTAGATATTTCGTCATATCCTGTTTACAAGTGGTTTTTCGCGGGGGCTCTTTAAGAAGCACTCAGGTTGCACTTCACAGTTGGCCTGTGAAACCTCAGGTACTGTGGGCCTACGACTAACACGATTCAAGTGTGTTCGCGTGTGGTACGCACAGGAAGCAACGTCATACGCACATGACGACAGGAGGGGACGGCAGTGCATGAATGGATTTACCCCTCCCCTCCGTGCGAATTGGCCATTAATATTACTGACATACTGTGGTAAAGTGACATTACCCCACGTGCCCATGTAAAACTAATCCCGTCCGAATAGTGTTAGAGGACAATAGAGAGGACAACAAAGATAAAACCTGTTAAACTAAAGAATTTAAACTCAAAGGTCCACATACTAGTTTTCCAGAGCTTTCAGACACTCAAATGACGGTACCTTCATGTTATTTATGTAGACTGATTAACCTAGATGTCGGTCTGTTAACAAGCAGATGCAAACTGATGAAACAAAGAACTTAGTGGATTTTATTTAATGTTGAAGTTTCCTCAAACTTAACAGCAATTTTGAAAAAGCACAATTAGCACAATGGTTGCAAAGATACACAAATGACCACAAAGAGACACAACACGCCACACTGATGTAAAAAAGTGTCATAAAGAAACTGACAGGTGTTTGTATTACTGCACCACAGACTTTAGTGAATGTGCTGTCAGTGACCTGCAGTAACCTCTAGAGGTCAGTGAGCACACACACACACACACACACACACACACACAGCGTGTCATTTCACTTTAATTAACATCAATTAAAACGTCTTTTCTTTGTTAAAAACAATAAAACTGCTTCATGAACACGTTTTTTTTCTGTTTCACACATAAAATGAATAATTTTTAATCCTTTAGTTGAAATAACGTCACCGACGTGTTCTTACGTCCGTGCTTCATGCGTGGTCACACTCACACGTGTCCTCAAATATGTGGTGTGTTTAGTGTGGTGCTGCTGGAAAGCTCTGACATCCGGCCTTCGACGGAGTTTGTGTGGAATTTAAAAAAGGGAAACGGGATCTGCTGATAAACCTGATAGCTCATCTGTGTGTGTGTGTGTGTGTGTGTGTGTGTGTGTGTGTGTGTGTGTGCAGCAGATATTTCAGGGGCGAAACAGAGAAGTAATTTTAGCGTAATAATCATATTTATCAGAATTTTTCTGAAATAAAATCAGCACTGTCCCTCTGCAGAAACACGACTGATGCGTGTTATCAAACGTCAGAACATGAATGTCGAACTGCAGCTGTAATAAACGACCTGTCGACACACCTCAAACACCACGGTGATGAAATCTGATGCAGAGTTTGATTTCCAGTCGCTCGCCGCGCTCTGCCAAACAGACGTTTTCCCCCAAAACAAATGAACAAATCTAACTTTGTTAAATCTAACCTGCAGATTTATTTATTTATATTTATATCACATTAATAAACAACAACAGAACTGAGCAGAAACATGATGAAGTCTGAGAGTGATGAGCAGCAGCTTCAGTAAACAGTTTGTGTTCTTCGATCTGACAGAAAACAACAACAACAACAACAACAACATGCAAACTGATCGTCAGCAGCAGAGAAACATTAGAAGAAGTTTTACCTCCATCCTGCTGGTCCTCTGTCAGCCGCCTCCTTTATGTCGAGTATGTGTCACAGAGGGAGCGCGGGGAGGCCTGCAGGGTAAATATAGAAGCAGAGTCACCACACACACACACACACACACACACACACACACACACACACACACAGAGGGCGGCTCATGTTCTGTCACATGTTCATCATCATCATCTCTCTGCTGCTGCTGCTTCATGTTGATTCATAACGTCTGAGTTATGTGATATATGTTCAACAGAAACCAGTTAGAGTGAGAAGGCTGGAAACAAACTACACTGAGAGGAAGTAGGAGCATCAGTACACAAGGTAGTAAACAACCAGAGTAAATAACCAAACAGTCTGCAGCTCTGTGAGGCTTTGAGCTGAACGCTCATTACAGAAGAGAAAAAGTTACTTTATTATTAGAAATGTTTGGATAAATAGAAAAATTAATAAATACACATCTAAGTAAATAAATACTTAAAGAAATTATTTATTATTTACATTGTGGACATTCCTTTTTATTTACATATGCATTCATTTTACAAATATGTATTATTGTTATTGAGTATTTAATATTTTTAATTCCTAATTTTATTTGTACATGTATTTATTTATTTATTTATTTATTTATGCACATATTCATTTAATTTCTGGTTTTATCTATATTTATCTATTTATTCATTCATTTATTCCTATATTTATTTGTACATTTATTTATCTATGTATTTTTTCTGTTTTTATATATTTAAACATTTATTTATGTATTCATTTAATTTCTGTTTTATCTACATTTATCTATTTATTTTTTTATCTATTCCTGTATTTATTTGTACATTTATTTATTTACATATTCATTTAATTTCTGGTTTTATCTACATTTATCTATTTATTCATTTATCTATTCCTGTATTTATTTGCACATTTATTTATCTACGTATTTTTTCTGTTTTTATATATTTATACATTTATTTATTTATATATTCATTTAATTTCTGTTTTATCTACATTTATCTATTTATTTTTGTATTTATTCCTGTATTTATTTGTACATTTATTTATTGACATACGTATGTTGCAGGTTGGTTTTCATGGAAATAAAACAAAGATATCAACCTGAAACCTGCTGGACAGTCAGTGAAGTCATCGTCAGCGCCAGCACCTTGTCGCTCAGTGGGTGGAGCGGGCGGTGTCCTTGAAACAGCGGCTGTGGGTTCAGTTCCAGCCAGCGTCCTTTTCTGCAGGTCACATTAGCATGTTGTATTTGTTTGGAAAACGTGTCAGTGAATCTTGTGAGTTGTAACGAAGCCGAATTTTGTAACGTTACCTTTGTTAAATGTTGCTGTTGTTCCTGGCGTCATATTAGAGGAGGAAAAGTCTGCTAGCTGCTAGGCTAATTTATACAATGTAAAATGCCATAGGCTTGTGCTAATAACGTTAGCATGTTGTATTTGTGGGGAAAATGGGGAAAAGTGTTTGTCTGTGAATGCTGCGAGTTATAGTGAAGCTGATTTGTGTACTTGTGTTTGAAACTGTCTCTATTAATCCATGTTTAATGTGTGTTTTGAATCAACTAAACTTTACAGCACTTCACAGAAACCCTGCCACCAACTAGTGTTTTGGAGGCGTAACTGCAGAGTGACACAGACACACCACCGCACAAGTACAAAGCACAAAGTATAAATCCCGCTTCAGCCAACATGAGGCGGACACTCGACTCGCTGAGCTCGAGGTCGCCTCCAGAACTGACCTATAAAGTTAGAATGAAATGTCTCAGTTTGACCACAGTCGTCATGAGTTTTAATCGCACAGTGCAGGTGTTTCTGTTATTTTGTCCACCCCTCTGTGTGCGTGTGTAGGTGGTCTCACTCATGAGCAATTTTATGTGTGTTTCAGATGTAGTGATAATTCGGGTGAAGAGGAACCTGCAGCCTGTCGTTGCTCTGCAGCGTCTCCGTCTTCTCTGAGGGGAAGTTGAGTCACTCAAGTGGAGAAAATTTCAACTTTCATTTCTGCTTTTGTGTTTCTTCACTTCTGCCCCAAACCCAGCCTGACTCTGGTTGCATAAGGACAAAATCAGAAAGCAACAAACTCCAGGGCGGAGCACAAACGAACGCACCGCAACAATAACCACTGATTTCTCTGTGAGCGCAGAACTTTTGTTTCTGCAGCAGCATCCGCTCCGTGTTTAAGATTCTAACAGATAAACAGAAACAGGTGTTCATTTCAAAACGTTAAAATCCTCCTCTTCTCTTAGGTCTATCTCAGATCATCATCTGACCAATCAGCATAGGCGGTTTGTCCTCGGAGCAGAGACACAGGACGTGGTTGGAGGGGAGGAGCCGAGCCAACAAGAAGACAGGAGGAAACCTTATAAGGTGAAAATAATATGACAGGAAATGTGACCAGAAAGTTACGCAACAGACAACTGTCAACAACACACCTTCAAACGTCACAAACCTGAATGGAAACATTTCACACGTCTGCAGAGACACAAACATCTGGGACATTTTATTACATTTAACTGATCTGTTTCCTTCTTGAAGTTTAAAGCAGTTTTTATTTTGGTGTCATTGAGACAAAAATCCCATAATAACCTTTGATCATATTGTAGCTGAAGTGTTCTGAGAGAAAACCAGACGTCAGCTCCTCCTCTAGTTTGAGGAGAGTTTGCCCAATCACAGATCATTTCAGAGAGACGGGCGTTCCTATTGGCTGTTGTACAGATACACCGTTCAGACAGTGAAAGTCTGATTCAGAGGACGATCCTGCAGAGAAAGTTCCAACATTAAAGGGAAATTTCAGTTTATTTCAACCTGTCTCCTATCGTCCTAAATTTGTTTCAAGTGACTAGTGACATAGAAATAATAGTTAGCATGTTAGCCGTTAGCCTAGATACAGCCAGGGCGCATAGTAGCGTCAGACCTGTTAAAACGTAAGTGAACGGGCAACCTTCAAGTGCAAAGTTAGTCCACTAAACAAGCTTTTTTTCCACACAGACCGCCTCATATCGTTAGGATAAATGTCAGAGAACATATAGAAAACGACATGTAAACGTGTTGTCTTACCTTACCGGTGTGCTGCCATGTTTGTTTACCGCTTTCCAAAGCGCGGCCGAAATATTGCGAAATTCCACCAATCTCCAGAGCTACGCAGCCTTGCAGCAGCCATTCTTCCTCTCTCGTCCTCTACCTGTTGCGCCTCTCTCTCTCTCTCCTCCTCCGTTCTTCAATTTCCCAAAGCTCTTCGTCAGTGTATTCTGGCTCAAATAAATAAGGGCGGCCATCAAACGCTTTCATAAAATAAATGAACTTTTCAGGCTACTGTCCGGTTCTGCCTTCCAGCTGTTGCTGCTTGTTCTCGCGAGATTTCAGGCACGGTATGAGATCGCCGCTTGTTCTAGCGATATTTCGGCCGTGCTTTGGAAAGCAGAGCTAGATGGTAAACAAACATGGCAGCACACCGGTAAGGTAAGACAACACGTTTACATGTCGTTTTCTATATGTTCTCTGACATTTATCCTAACGATATGAGGCGGTCTTTGTGGAAAAAAAGCTTGTTTAGTGGACTAACTTTGCACTTGAAGGTTGCCCGTTCACTTACGTTTTAACAGGTCTGACGCTACTATGCGCCCCGGCTGTATCTAGGCTAACGGCTAACATGCTAACTATTATTTTTTATGTCACTAGTCACTTGAAACAAATTTAGGACGATAGGAGACAGGTTGAAATAAACTGAAATTTCCCTTTAATAACTGACGACACCGCAGAGCAAACCTAAAACAGGAAGTCAGACTGATCAGAGTCTGAAACAGAGTCTGACAATAAATTAAAGACGTGTCAGTATCAGCAAAGTGTTTTTAAAACATGGAGGGAAAATGTCGCTAATAGTTTAGCCTCTTGCTAACAGGAGCTAATGCCTCACTGCTGCAGCTACATGTTCATGTGTCTGTAGCTAACGTTAGCGAGTAGCCTCTTGAATCAGTCACTCAGGATTCTTTGAACCTCGGCCAGCGATCTCTGTAGAACCAGCCCACGTTTCCACCAGTTTGGTCAGAACCATTGGACGGCGCCACACGAAGAACAGCAGCAGCAAGATGGCGGATAACACTGACCACCTGCAAGCTCTTGTTCTGTTATTACAGATATTTGTTCTTATCCAAAAACACAAGCCTGAGCCAGCTGTTGATCAGAGGGTCGTCACACTGCACGCTTTATTCCTTTGATCTCTTACTTCATGTCTCAACTGTCTTTCTGTGGTCATTTAAGTCACAAAACATGTTTTGGCCATAACTCAAGTATTCATTCATTCATTCAGATGAAACTTAACACATTTTATATCCAAAAGGTGAAAGGTCAACTTCACTGTGACATCATCATGTTCTGCATGAAACACTTTTCTGTCCAGTGTGTGAAGCGTCCATCTTTTAGACTTTGTAGCTTTACAGCAACATATGAAGCATCGTCTCCATCGTCCCGGCTCCACATGAGTCTGACAGATGTGGATGTAAACTGTGGCTTGGCTCATTTTAGGAGGCATAAATCCACAAAGAGGTCATTCTATTTTAATTCTGTTGTTTCTTTTGCCTTTAACAGATTTCTGCTGACCCCAGCTTTAACTTGGGACTCGACTTGAGCCTTGCTCTCTTCACTCAGGACTCACTGGTCTTGACTTGTGACCTCTTGAGTGATGTTGTGTTTTCACTTGTGACATGTATCTTTAAAAGTGTCACCATGACCTTTATTTTGAAGGGCCACACACCTGGTGTTAACTGAATGTTCAGTTTCAGGTTCTTTGTTTACACTGCTGAAATATTTTAACAGTCATTTTAAGGGAGAATCAGCAGCTGAGTTTGACCCTCGACAGACCAAATGTTTCCTCTCCTCAGTCTGCTGTTGTTTCCTGGCGGCTCTGTGCTGCCACCTGGTGGTGAAACATCTCACACTCTGTGGCAGGTTTCCAGAGCAGCTAACAGGTCAGTGAATGCACCGCCTACCGTTCATATTGTCTTATCCAGTCAGTTGTTGTTTTTTGTGTCTGTAAATCAGCAGCTGTTGTTTCAGTGAACTCAGCCACAGATAGAAGAAAAATTCAGAGATGGTAAAGATTAATAATTGTATGCAGTTGTTTAAATCAGGTGTTAAATAATAAAAAGTACTGAAGAGAAACTGTGTGTGACTCAGAATAACATGATGGTTACAGTTTGTAACTCTGCTTCTATGCGGTCAGCCACAGCAGCTCACTGACACTTAAAAAAATCTATTATTATTATTGACTCTATCATGTGGTGCAGCCTGTTGGGTCTGTTCTGGAGAAACGTGGTGCTGCTGAACGATACTTCCTGTCCTCACAGCTGCAGCGTCGTCCAGGTTTCATTGTCAAATGAAGCAGATGTTTGGTGTGTTTCCATCCACCTGATCTGATTGTGAGCGGAATCACATGACACAGGGGAACAAAGCTGAAATATCGAAAAGAAAACACATAAGGTCATTTGAGATGATGAATTTATAATCGGAGAGCATAAACGATCGAATCAATAAATGCTAATAAACTAATCAAGAGCACAAACTACGCAATTAGAGAAATGAAGCACTGAATATTAATTCAAGAACATAAACTGAGTAAGATAGAATAGAATATTTGTACGTTTCATAAGAATCAATAAGTGACACATGAGCTGTCTGTGGACGTTCCAGCTGGGATTGTGCCGCAAAATCCACATAATTTGAGCCATGGCTGAATCTAAATGTCCAGACTTCACTGCACTTGCAGACTTTGCGGGCACGTTCCCGGGAAGTGCTGACACTCCAAATCCAACATTCATCCAGTCAACAAGAGGCCTGAAGCGGACATTCTGCAGACTTCAGCAGACGTAGTCCCTGATCACACAGAAAGTGTTTTGTTGGTTGCAAAACATGAGGCGCACCACACTCTTATTTATTTATTTTTAAATTAAATGCCACTGAACGCCTGCTGCACCTTTTTGTTTTGCTGGGAAAAAAACCTTTCTCAATGTGTAAAATAGTTCTTTATAGTTTGGCCAATTAAAATGCTTCTTGAATTGTGTCAGCCAGATACAATGATATGATACTGATAATACAGAAACATGTAGAAGTGTGGGCTGTAGAGGGAGTGAGAGCACTTCTTCTTATTGCAGCCTGTCAGACTGCTGTGTAACAGGCTGAAAAATGGCCAAAACAATAACAAAAGTTCATCTAATGTCACTAAAACCCAATTTACTGAGTTATAGTCCTCATTAACAAACATTCTGTTTCTGAGCCTGCTATATAGAGATGTATTAAAACATTAAAAGCCTTTACATGAGATTTATATCTTGTCATCTGCAGGGACCGATGAGCAGACTGTTCATATCCTGAAACATCTTTATACACAACATGGGCTCAAATTACAGGAGCCATCCATGTGTTTGACACTTTACGCACAAGGTCCTATGTTTCCAACCGAGCGGCACGACTGTTACCGGATATATATCCTGTTTGAATGACCTGTTTCCTGTCTGGATAGTGCCAACACATCGAGTATGACTGACTCTGAGCCAAACCCTGCTGACACAGGCTGTGATCTGCTCCTCCGCTAGAAGAACCAGAGGGAGGTGACAGAACCAGTTTCCAGTGTTCACACACTCCCAGGTGTGGAGCCGTGGACTGTGTCATTTTTTGCCCAGGGGGTTTCGTGCTCCTGCCCTCCGGATAGGCTGACCTGTTCCTCCAGACCATCCATTCTAACATCAACCCTTGACAAAGTATCAACAGACAGCAATCAGAATCAGAAATACTTTATTGAGAAATTGTTGTGTTACAGGTGCTCCTTGCAAGAGAGGAAAGATACATGAAAATATAAGAAATTTAAACAATAGTATTTATGAATACTATACTATACTAATAGCAACTGTTTTTTTTTTTTTTTTCAACATATGAAATGGAAATTGACAACTTTTCAGCTAACTAGCTAGCGTGCTAGCTGTGCTAACTAATGCTGGCAGCCTGAAACAAACAACTATGATTCATTGTTGGTTAATTGTGTTATAATTTAAACAATGAACATGCTGGCCTGTGGTCCCTCTAATATGAGCAGTGGTTTAAGTTATTATAGTCTATTATGATCAGGGAGTTGATACGCAGACATTAGCTAGTGCTAGCATGGCTAGCTAGTTGAAATGTTGACTACTCCCATTACTGTGTAGTGATTGGTTGAATTAAAAACTTTTAAATGTTTGACTGACAGGCGATTGTGAGCCTCCCATTGGCCACATTTAAACATGATTGACAGATACCCCACCGCCTCAAGCTCGCACATGCGCACGTCTAAAATGGTGGCTCTCCGGCTCTGCAGGTGGATGATATTGGAAATATACAATACCAACATTTACTCTGGTGACTGGGCTGCGAACTCAGCTGCATGAGAGCAAAATGTACAATGAAGTCGTCCAGCACCATTTTATTCATGTGAAAGCAGAACTGATTGATTCAAGATCATGAATTGACCTATGGCTAAGCCACGCCCCCTCCACTCACTCAGACAAACTATCAACATTCAGTGACTGGCGCTATGGCAGGTGTCACAGTACACGGCATTTCACAGGAGGCAACTGATGATTTTTGGGGACATAATTAATCATTTTATTGTTGAGAAGGTCGATGAAAAGCTTAAATTACAAGCCAAAATTTACAGGTCACAGTGTACGCTTGTGAACCGCATCTGGTTGCCGTCACCATCAAAGACAACAAGTTAAAGTGCCACTGAAGTTAAGGTTTTTGGCTCAGAATATGAGAAAAGGATAACGGCCTTTTTACCATCTTTACCAAGAGTGTCTCTCCGTTAGTTTGGTGCTACAGTATTTACACTGAATCATTCAGCATAACGTTTGCCAACCTTTGTTATCTCTGCCATTACAGATAAGTTAATGAAGCTAAGCTCCAGAAGTTAACGTTAGCTTAACTAGAGCCCTTTGGACAACAGCTAACAATGATGTACCATCACCAAAGTACAAAACTAGAACAAAATAGGCTAATGAACTCCCAGCAAACAAGGTGACATGATGAACAACGCAGCTGGGAGCTAACGTTAGGCTAACTTTAGCTAACGTTAGCTAGAGATGTTAAAGATAACTTTATATTTCTTTCCAGCAAAGTGACAATATGTTGCCTCAAACACAATGTTGACTTACCTTAGAACAGATGTAGACATCATTGTTAATCTTATTCACGTTGAGTTGATGTTGTGGTCTAACGTTACCACACAACTTTATCCAAAGGAGACACTTTTCTCGGTTGAGATGTGGTTTAAAGTGTAAAAAATACACCTGGTCGCCCAGCCTCTCAGGATACCTTGTGTCAGAGTTGCATGTACCCCATGCACACCGTTTGACCATTTTTAAACTTCAAATCTCAGAAAAAGCTCATAAAACCGAACAAACTGACTTTCTGTAATGCATTTCAATGGACGTCCAGGCAGAGAATGTCCCAGTGTATGGGAATGACTATACGCACTGTGATTGGCTCATTGCGTTTGAGGGCGGGACTTTGCCATAGGTCAATAGAGTGTGCCAGGGCTGACGTCAAAACCCGGAAGATTAGCATCGCGCTGGTTCCCGAAGAGAAAGTGAATGTGATTTTTGCATTGCGTTTTGGATTATGTCAGAAAATAAGCTCTGTGGCTAACACAAGTTTATGATACTTACAGGTTTTGTTCAGCGAGATAATCTTCACATATGAACACCTTTCATACCACATTTGAAGCTTAAATGCGATCGCCAGAAGTAAAAAGCTAACGTTAGGCTTTAACGGACTACATGACTACTCCACGGTCGCATGACTCTTGACGTCACCGCCACTAAGCTTTCAACTGATTTCGGCCGCTTTATTTTAAAAACATTGTATAATGGGGAAATCGGACTGTTTAAGCTAAATAAGAAGCTGTAATGGCGGACTGCCAGCACTCTCGCCTGTTCGGGGGTGATGACGTTTAATGTCCCCGACAGGGTTTGTAGTCGTATTGAGCAACTTGTTAGCAACCGCCATTTTTACGACATGTAAAAGCTTCAAAATTCACAAGTAGGGTATTTACTGGCGTGTTTTATGTCGTAGAACAAAACCTGAAACTCACTTAAGCTTTTGTTAACCACAGACCTTATTTGAGGCATTTTACCAAAATCCCATTCAAAAAACGTATTGACTTTTAGACGAGAGAACTTGAAGTGCTAAAAGCGCTAACAGAGTTCCGGGTTTACTGGCACACTGCATTCAGTCATTTGAGAGCAGAATTAAATAAATCAAGAGCTTGTTTTTGGCACTTCATCATTCCAGGACAAAAGTTATGAATTTGAGACCTTTGACTCATTAAATTGTTTATTTTTGGGCCAAATGTAGAAAATGTGAAGTAGATGAGTTTTGAGATGTTTGAAATAGTTTCAGGGTTCCCACATTTTCATGGACAAAATTCCTAAACTTTTCCAGGACTTTTCAAGGACTTATCATTAAATTGAATGACAACTCACAGCATATGACAGGAAGAGAACTGAACAGTCGACTTCACTCCAAATGTTCATTATTGTGTGAAAACTAACAGCAACCTTTTCTAATCCAGTCGGTGATGTTTGTGACATCACGTGGGAGGTTATCCACGGAAGATTACTGCAACTATTCCATGACTTTTTCAGGTTTTCCCTGACCGTAGGAACGCTGGTTAAAATTGCTGATACAGACAGAAATGCAGCAGAGAAGACAAACAGATCAGACGTTAAGTTTGTTTATTACAGATTTATAAATAAAAACAAATGTTGGATCATTTTCGTGACATGTTGTTTTTCTCCGACGTGTGAATGCTTGTAATTTATTGTGGCATCATGTGAGAGGAATTCTGGGTAATGGAGTCTTCACACTGACAGCTGGATTCTTTAAATAAACACATGGTGACACTTATCTTTGTTCAGAGTAAATAAAGATTAAGCTTCACATCCTGTTTAACATCCTGCTTCACACACACACACACACACACACACACACACACACACACACACACACACACCAGCTGATTTTTAACGCTGTGTGTGTGTGTGTGCATTAGTCCAAACTGTGCAGACACACACATTTTATTTCTCCAACTGAAACCTTTATCTCCTCCACAGATGAACATCAGACGGTGACAATAAGATGTGATGATGTGATGATGACGATGATGATGATGGACAGCAGAGCAGCATCTTCATCCAGGGACACTGTTGGTGTTGTGGTGAGTTGTCCTGAACGTAACATCGGTATCATCTGAAATATTTCCCCACCAAAATAAAATAAGTTTTAGTTTGACTTGTATACAGCACTCTGTGTCTGCATGCCACTCATCACTTTCCCTCCAGATAAATAAAGTTCTGTCTTAAATGCTTTTTGGGCTGAAGGAGATTTTTCGCTGCGATACCACAAATGGCCACTGGGAAAACTGGAAGCAGGACTGAGCGGCGTTCCTGGGGGTGTGATGCGAGCCCAGTGTACAGGAATAGTCATGTGATGTTTGTTTTCAGGTGTGTTAGTGTGGACGGGGACTGTTTTTAAAACAAAAACGTATCAGTGTGGACGAATCCAACGGCCCTGACACACCTGACAGTTGGCTGTGGGCGTCTCTCACCCTAGTTTTTACGATGTGTCACGCATTGATGACCCTTGTTAGCTTTTTTTAGCGAATCCAGCATGTTGACTGAGCAACCGAGGAGCCTGTCAGTGAAATAAATCACTGATCAGCACTTCCATGTTTCAGATGATACATCATGTTTGTAGTCGACCAATGAAGATGAGTTTACATATCACATTGGGTTCGTCCTTCACCTTCTCAAAATGATCCCACACTTTGGATTTCCTGCCCGACATGTTATTAACTAGCCTGTGGAATAACCGCAGGTACCAGCCCTGGAAATTAAAGGGAAATTTCGGTTTATTTCAACCCGTCTCCTATCGTCCTAAATTTGGTTAGCCATTAACCTAGATACAGCCGAAGCGTCAGACCTGTTAAAACATAAGTGAACGGGCAGCCTTTCAAGTGCAAAGTTAGTCCACTAAACAAGCTTTTTTTCCACAAAGACCGCCTCATATCGTTAGGATAAATGTCAGAGAACATATAGAAAACGACATGTAAACGTGTTGTCTTACCTTACCGGTGTGCTGCCATGTTTGTTTACCATTTAGCTCTGCTTTCCAAAGCGCAGCCGAAATATATCTCGCGAGAACAAGCAGCGATCTCATAGCGTGCCTGAACAAGCAGCAACAGCTGGAAGGCAGAACCGGACGGTCGCCGAGGCGCAACAGGTAACGTTAGAGGACGAGAGAGGAGGAATGGCTGCTGCACGGCTGCGTAGCTCTGGAGATTGGTGGTGTACCTGTGAATGCTGTGCCCCAGTGCCCACAGAAGAGGAATGCCTCTGTTGCAAGGAATGGGACCGGTTGCAGCCTTATTTTCAAGGTCTGGATGTGACCGAGGACGAGACACCTCCACCTGGAGTAGTATCCAGCTGGGCTTTATCTAGAGCTCGCCAGATATATTTCGGCCGCGCTTTGGAAAGCAGAGCTAAATGGTAAACAAACATGGCAGCACACCGGTAAGGTAAGACAACACGTTTACATGTCGTTTTCTATATGTTCTCTGACATTTATCCTAACGATATGAGGCGGTCTTTGTGGGAAAAAAGCTTGTTTAGTGGACTAACTTTGCACTTGAAGGTTGCCCGTTACGTTTTAACAGGTCTGACGCTATGGCTGTATCTAGGCTAACGGCTAACATGCTAACTATTATCTGTATGTCACTAGTCACTTGAAACAAATTTAGGACGATAGGAGACAGGTTGAAATAAAACGAAATTTCCCTTTAACCTGACTCCTGTCTGACTGCTGAGCGTGGACACTTCCTGTGTCTGTCCTTTCAAAGTAAACTCCCACATGGTCCAGTCATATAGGTTTAGATTTATTTTGACAAGGCGCAGCTCCTGATACAGTTTCACCTTTATTTTTGTTTTTTCTGCGACCAGGTGACCACTGAAATTTTGCCGACTAATGACCTTTCTGGTCGTCTAACATTTGGTCGACTGTTAGGGAGCAGCCCTGGTTGTTATATTAGGTGTTTTGAGCTCTTTAGCAAAAACATTTTGTAATTGTTTGTGTTACTAGCATCTTGAATCTGACCTGTTGTCTGTTTCCCTTTTTGAATGACAATTACAGATGACTGCTGGTGAGCAGAGTTATTTCCAGTCACGCAGGCCCAAAATGTACGTGCTGGTTGGCTGTTGGTAATACTCTTTTCGGCCTGTTCAAGGGCGGCCTTTTGGTCAAAACATAGGTGACATGAGGCGATTCATTGCTACTAGATCTTTTATGTCGGTTTGGTTTCTCCTGGCCTTCAAACTTTGGCTAAATAAAATTAGGGCTAAAAGAACAATAATTTTCATTATTGATTAATCTTCTGGTTATTTTCTAAATTAATAGCTTCATTGTTTCGTCTGTGAAATGTCAGGAAAGAGTGAAAAACACTTTTTACTTCTTCAGATGTCTCTTGTTTTGTCCGACCAACACAAAAAAACAAAATGTTCAAATTCAGATAAAACTGAAAATCAGTAAATGTTAACACTGGAGACGCTGGAAACAAAGAACGTTGGCATTTTTGCTTAACAAAATCGACTAAAACCATAAATTATCTGAATGATTGCAGATAAATTTTCTGGTGATCGATGAATAGTTGAATCTCAAAGTGACAAAATTAAACTATCAGATATAAAACCATCAGATTTTTTCCACCATGCACCAAAATAAAAACTGAAACTCAAGATAATAAACTTCACTCTGATATATACATATGAAACAAAACAAAACAAGGCATTTACAGACGACCATGTGAGTTTCCATCATGCATCTGACAAACATAAACAAAGGAGGCAGTAACAGCTGCGTTCTGAATCGCATACTCTTTCTTTTTACTTTCAGTCGTTACTGCAGCTGCCTTTAAAACGTACGTACTGTTTCATGAACACAGTCTGGACGTACGACTGTCTCATAACATTATGCCCTGAACTCTGACCCTCTTGTTTTTATATAACAAACACCACTTACAGAGTTCGCCAGAGACGAAGATCAACCTGCAGAGCTCTGCTGTTATTACTTTGTGACGTGTAGTTTAAATTTAAAGTTATAACTGCTCAGATTGCAGATGCTAACAGATTATATTTGTGACAGTGAAATTACACCTGCAGTTCTATGTCACTGTTATTTTTTATTGTTATGTCCTTTAGATGTTTGTAATATTTATGATTATTTTATTCACTTTAACAGATGACAGCTGTCAATGAGCTGTCATCTGTTTGCGGCTCAGTTGATGTGACATATCGTCCTCTGTGCAGAGGATTGTGGGTCAGAACAGCCAGTAAAGCATGCTGGCTTACACACTGTAAAATACAGCCGGATGTAGTAGAACATTACATTTGACATACTCTGTATTTAGACTTACTAAATCTTTTTTGGCGTACTATATGGCAGACCCGTTCAATTAGCGGGGCTTAGCTGGAGGCAAAACAGTTCTCCACAGACATTAGCTAGCGCTAGCTAACAAGTTGTGTAGTCTTGTTTTAGACGATGGAGGAAGATGATGTGAGTGGTGCGTTCAGAAACACTCATTGTGAGTGTGGGAGCGCACTCTGACACAAACTGGAGCGTTGACAAATTGGGAGCGCTGTCTGAATGTAGCGTTGGGTTATCCAGAGCAGCGCACTCTCAGAGTGGCAGAGCGCACTCTGGACACTCTGTCTGTGGAGACGGAGCAGCAGAGCGCCGAGCGAAGTGAATGTGTGATTAACTTAACAGTTGGTTCATTCATGTAGAAATATAACGCTGCGTTTCTTCCACCAACAGGGCTCTCATATTAGTGTAGAGCGTCAGACTGAATTTACCAACGCACCATGTCAGGTCACTCACTCTCCGGGACCGCCAGTGTTACTAGAATAAGTAAACACTGACCAACGGGACCAGACTGGCCGACCCGTATGCTCTCACTCAGTGGATGGATGATGTCACAGGAAGCCAATCTTACAAAGGAGGACCACACTTGTTTGTTTTGCTATGGAAGCTAACGTTAGCTAATGTGCTAAAAAGTTAGCGTTGCAGAGAAATCCAATCTTCCTCTTAATCCCTCCCCAGTTTCTGATGAGGTGGACATGATAACCCTTAATACACATAACCTTATTCATCCCTACAACAGGAAATACTTTATCCCTAACCTGATATGAAGTGTGCGCTGCACATGTGAGCATTTTTGATGATGGCCTCCGTCCAGTCCTTTGGTCTTATCACATTTAACCATAGTTGTCTTTGTTTTTGTTGACGGGCAGTGGCGGCTGGTTTTGAGCCATGACTCCTTCTATTCTGGCTCCCAATAACACAACAAGACAAACACATTTTAACACTCCTATGGAGCCTACAGCCCTGTGGGGGAGAGGCAGCTGCACCTCCAGCTGATAACATGATGTCATCGTGATATCGGCCTTAAAAGGGTCTATTTAAGTTTTAAATCTCTTCATCAAAATTTCTCTGAAAAACTAAACAGGAAGTAAAACTACAAATTAAATTTTTTCACTGTCGTCAGTCGTCCTCTTGTTCGTCTTCTTTGGTTTGTGTCTTTGTAGGAATCGTTCGTCTCCGTGTCCCCTGGGCGTTGTGAGGAGCATCGTATGTTTTCCCTCGGTGAGTCCAAAAATCTGATCTTTTCTCAGTCTGACAGAAAAATAAAATCATTTAGCAGAAAAGGTTGATATAAAAAATGCCTGAGTGAAGCGTTAAAAAAAAACCACATGTTCCCTGTGAGCGACAGTTTGGTTCCTACATCACGATGAAGGTGAGGATCTCATTGTGATGAAGATGAAGGTCTTGTCATGAGTCAGTAGCGGACAGAAGCAGGTGTGTGAGTTTTGTCTGAGCTCAGACGCAACAGCGTTCAGTGGCGTCCCTGCTTCTTCTTAAAGATCTTATTAAAAGCGTTTCTCCTGCGGCTGACGGACGATTCGCTCTCCTCACCTCCGTCCTCCTCCACTGGGCTCCGCCTGGTCGGGAGCTGGACGCCCGTCCCCCGACCACTGTTAGAAGAGCTGGACGAGGTGGAAGACGAGAAGATGGCTGGGACGTCAGTGGCGGCGTCGGACGTGACGCAGAGGGAGCGGGTGGAGCAGGATGAGGCGAGGATGCCAGCAGGGCTGCCCCTCAGCTCCCCCAGACTGGAGCTCTTCTCCAGGCTTCCTACTCCTCCTCCTCCTCCTCCTCCTCCTCCTCCTCCTCCGACCCCGGAGCCCTGCAGGGGGTGGAGCCTGGATGAAAGGAGGAAGGGCTTGGAGCCGTACAAGCTTCGTGATTCGCCGTGAGAAAGAGGGAGGGAGGAGTCAGAGTCTGAGCGGTTCATGATGTCCCTAAAAGAAACAGAGAGACAGTAATGACGGCAGAAGCTAAAGTTTCATTGTAATGTCAAAAAGATGGACATCAAAACCTGACACACTGTAAACTCTAAATTAATCAAGCTCTGTTGGCACATCTGTTAAAAGATCTGAATACTTTCACAGCAACATGAACAAATCAAAATAGAATCAAATAAAAATCAAAAATCAAATCAAATAGAATTTGAAAATTAAAGTTTGGTTTTAAGGTCAGATAAAACAGCAGGAGAGAAAACATTCAGCAAGAACAAATGAAGATTAGAGACAAAGCAGCGGTGTGGCGGACGTTAGGCCTCAGTCACAAATGTTTTATTTTTTTCTCGTAAAAATTTGTTTGTAAAAACTGAATAATAAATTAAAAAGACAAAAAGTGGTCCACGCCACAGTGGTCCAGCAAACCTGTAAATACTGATCAATCCCTAATCCTGACAACTCGTAAAAGTCGTAACTCTAAATCCTGACGTTTTGCAAAAGTTTAAAAATTTTAAATCCTGACAACCTGTAAACCTCAAACTAAATTATTAACTCGCAAAAGTCGTAAACTCTAAATCCTGAAGTGGTAAACTGAAAATCCTGACCCTTTATAAATCGTCAATTCTAATCCTAATTTTTCTGTTTTAACGACAATAAAGTTTGTTCATTACTCAAAATGTTCCTATTTGTTTATAAAACAATGCAGAGTCTTACAAACTCTAAATTAAATCGACGCTAAAGTTCAGATCGAATCTTTGCGTACGAATGTTTCAGTGTTGAGGCCCGCTGATTTTTTTTCTGTCTCGTTAGTACATGAGTAGAGTATAAAATGGCCGTGCAGAGGAAGATACCCGAAGCTGCTGGAGCGACAGCGCTGCCCCCGACCCGTCGCAGCGCCCCCTGTAGGCGGGAGGCTGCACGCCTCCAGAGAGTGGAAGTAAGAAGACCGGAAGAGCAGAGCAGAGAAGTGAGCAGCACCTTCAGTGTAGGAAGAGGAAGAGGAGGAGGTGGAGTTGGGGGGAGGAGGGGGCGGACAGAATGAGATGACGGGGGGGTGAGGAGGGGAGGTGGGGCCGATGGAGGGGTGAGACAGGGAGGACGACAGAGAGGGGGAGGGCACAGGAAGGAACTCCAGCTGGCCAATGGAGCGGCTGCGATTTTGCCGGCCGCTGGGAGGGCGGGATGGCGTGAACAGGCCACGCCCTTCCTGTTGCGATAAGCCCTGCCCTTCAACCAACCTCTGAGAGCTGAATGTCAGAGCGGGGTCTCCTATCCTCGGTCGCAGGGGCATCAGACTCTGAGCTGCAGGAGAGGGAGGAGGAGGAGGAGTTAGGCTGAGTTTTATTTTGAAAACCAGAAGCACAGGAAGTTCAGATTCAGAATGAAGAGTTACGGGTGTCTGAAGAGAAAAGGTGCTACACGTGATAAAGAGCAATTTCAGCTGTGACAACAAAATGAGGCCATTTTGCTTTTGAGGAAACTCAGTTTGTGAGACAGCATCAGATATTTAAGGTTTTTACCTTTTTCACCTTCAGTGGTCAGGTGCGTTTAGATGCAGCCTAAATTCAGTGTTTATAACAAAAAAAAAAACAAAATAGATGCATGTTGTAAGTTTGTACAAACTAGTTAAAATCGACTTCAGCTGCACCCAACAAATCTGGGCTTAATATAAATAAACGTGAAATCAGTTTTAATTAATTTTTCAAAAACCAATCTCAACTGACCAAACTTGTAAATTCTAAATCCTGAATACTGCTAAAATGCATAAACCCAAAAAATAAAAATAAATAACAAACCCTCAAAAACAACAACAACAGAAAACCCTGTCAATTCTAAATTCTGACCACTTAGGAAACTTGTAACCTCAAAATCTCCAAAACTGGTAAAACTATTAATCCTGAAAACTAACTTTTGACCAGTGGTCAAAGTTGTAAACTTAAAGTCCTGAAAATTTATAAAATGCATACACTTTAAATTCTGACCATTCAAAAACTTGGAAACCACCCCTAAAATGCATTAACTCTAAATCCTGAAAACTTGTAAACTTCAAATTTTGAAAACTTGCCTTAAAAAAAAAAAAAAGTAAACTCTAAACTCAGACCACTCCTTAAACTTGTAAACAATATATCCTGAAATGCAAAAAAGTTTTGAACTCTAAATCTTGGAAACTAGTAAAGCCCCTCAATTCTAAATCCAGACCACTTATAAAACTGGTAAGTTTAATCTAAAAGTCGGATCTTTAACAAGTTTACATTAATTATCCTCTGAAAAGTTTCTTCTAAGACATACAAGCTTTTTTTTATCACGACAGTAGTGACTCAGTGTTTTCAAGAGCAGAATATTCATTCAGTCAGAGTTTCTGAGTGCGGGTGAATGTGACTCCAAAACGTGAAATCCACTGTTTTTTGTTTTTAAATGTGACGACAGCTGCCAAATATCATGAAAGACAAACAGCTATGAAATTAAAGTTTTCCAGTCGAATATTGTTGGAGTCATGAAGTTAAGAACTAAGACACATTTTGTCTTTCTGTGGATCTGTGGTGTTTTGGAATCAAAACATTCAGCCGTATGACGTGACTTGTGTCGAAGCTGAAATAAGAAGAAAACATTTACTTTGTGCTTTTAGCTGCTGCAGACCTGTAAGTGGACGTTAGTGAGAAGAGGAGAAGCAGGTTAACTGTTGTTAAAGTAGTGGTGAGTGTTCCAGGTCGTCAGAGGGTGAAAAGGCGAGAAGAGGAAGAGGAGGAGGAGGAGATTGTTCTGGAAAACATCTGATCTGGCCAGATGGAGGGAGGGAGGTGGAGGAAGAGGAGGGTGAAGCTGCACAGGTGAGGATGCGTTCACATGAACACCTGCTGTCCGTCATATTCACAGACAGTTAGGTCATTAAGTTTCATCAGCTGAGCATCTGTTAGCTGACGTTAATGCTGTGAACTGTTCTGATGGGCTTCAATTTATCATTAGATGTTCAAATTTTATCATAAAATACTTAAATGAATTTTAACTGTTAATTTCAGTCTACTCTTGAAATACGAGACTGCAATATTTTCACGTTGTCTGGACTCTGACTTTATTGCAAATGTTCATGTGAACGCTGCCTTCTGGTTGATTTTTACCTCTGAAAGTGAGAAGCTTTTTTCACTTCAGCTTTTTTTGCTGTTGATTCTTATAAATTGGGAAGATGTCAAAAAAGTAGAATAATTTTTTAAAACTGCTGCTTCAAAATCAAGCCATTGAATGTATTGAAAAATTCAGCTCTTTAGTGTTTTCTGAAAATTAAAGTTTTCCTCTGAGAGTTGAGCAATAGAAAAATAAAACACAAAAAACATAGTAAAACTGAATTTAATGGAAAACTTGATGATTTTGTTCAGTAATTAAAATAACTACAAATCGAAATAACATATAAAAGAATTGATGTTATATTTTATTGTGGGATCTCGACAATCATTCAGAGGTATGAACCAATCAGAGAGCGGGAGGCTGAAGGAAGGAGGGGCCAACCGGAGTGTTTCCATGGTGACTGGGTGTCTGCGATGCTGCTCAGGGGCCAGAAGTCGCTCACTCGCCGGTCCATCTGCCATGCTGCGTCTGGAGGGAGCCAACCAAGAAAGAGATGCCAAGAAAAGAGTAACCAATCAGAGGAGGGGATGGAGACAGCGAGCGGACCTCAGGTGAGCTGAGAGAAGATGGGTCAGGTAACTCTTGCACAGTTTGTCCCCTCTGAGCCTCTGTAAGAAACCTGAAGTGATTAGTGGCACTGTCGTTGGATTAAAAGGACAGTTCCACAGAGATTTAGTTTTACTTAAAAGTCCGACTGAACCTCTGAAGTCTGAGACTGAAATATCTCCAGAGTCAACATTCCTCTGGTCCACAGAGCTCCACTGATGTTACTACGTATCTGTGAGGGGTTTTAAAAGATTTACATCTTCAGCAGAACCGATTTGACTTTTTTTTGACGCCACATATTGGATTTGTTGAGTCTAATAAACACATAGAACTCACAGACCTTTACTTTAAGTACATACTAAAAGAAGAAACATGACAGGAACACTGACAGCGAACGTTTAAAATGAGCACCGCAGTCCAAATTAAAACCAGTGGCGATAACTATCTTCCCCTGCCCCTCCGCCCCAGACTCAAAGTTCGCGGGCAACAGGCAACATTATACTTTTACAATAACAAGCGACGGCGAGTCCAACACTGTAAGTTTTAATCAGCTACATGTATTTGCTTTGCATTGTATGTTTTGTTTACAGATGTCACACTGGTGATATGGACCTTAAAAACACAATACTACAAGTAATTCATACCAGTGGGGCTCTGTGTCACAGACATGTCACAGATGTGTCACATCTGCGTCACATCTGCATCACACATGTATCACGTGTCACAGATGTGTCACAGACATGTTATGTGTCACAGATGTGTTACAGACATGTCATATGTGTTACAGACGTGTAACAGACATGTCATGTGTGTAACAGACGTGTTACAGACATGTCATATGTGTCACAGACGTGTTACAGACATGTCATGTGTCACAGATGTATTACAGACATGTCATATGTGTCACAGACGTGTTACAGGTGTGTCAAATGTGTTACAGACGTGTCACAGACATGTCATATGTGTCACAGACGTGTTACAGATGTGTCACATGTGTTACAGACGTGTCATATGTGTCACAGACCTGTTACAGATGTGTCATATGTGTCACAGACGTGTTACAGATGTGTCATATGTGCCACAGACGTGTTAAAGATGTGTCATATGTGTCACAGACATGTTAAAGACGTGTCACATGTGTCACAGATGTGTTACAGACATGTCATATGTGTCACAGACGTGTCATATGTGTCACAGACCTGTTACAGACATGTCATATGTGCCACAGAACTGTTACAGGCGTGTCGTATGTGTCACAGACATGTTAAAGACATGTCATATGTGTCACAGACGTGTTACAGACGTGTCATATGTGTCACAGACGTGTCATATGTGTCACAGACGTGTTAAAGACATGCCACATGTGTCACAGACATGTCACAGAGGTGTCACAGACGAGTCACAGATGTATCAGGCTGTGATAAACACACTGTTTAGTTCAGATTAAATTAAAGAGGAGAAATATTATTTTAAGGTTCATGCTGACTGAAGTTTCCAGATGTTGATTAACCAGACATCTCGTGTACTCACACTGCAGCGTCCCTGGAGACAGGATGTCCTCGTCCATGTCGTCGAGGTCATCGGAGAGGAGGAGGTGCTGAGGGGTGGGAGGTCTCAGGCCAAGGAAAGACGGGTCCAGGTTGAGGGCGGCAGCTAGCGCTCCCAGACCGGGGTTATTGACCAGGCAGAAACCCGTCAGACACTCGATCTGCTGCCAGCGGTGAAGCTTCTCCCGCAGCGCCGCCGTCACCTCGGCCAGGGCCTGTCTGAGGGGCGGGGTTAACAGGAGGAACCTCGGACAGTAAGAACCCTTCCGAATTTACCAAGCGCACCTCACAGAGTCAAAGTGTTTGTCTTTGAATGTCAAAATGAAGGAATCTGTCAGATAAATGTGCTGCAGTGAAACCTCTGAGATGTGACAGACATACTAGAGTGAAGTAAGATTACTTTGAAAGTGTACGTACATTGTAAGGACAGTACTCGAGTAAATGCACACAGTTACTTTCTACCACTGAATACAGGAAGGGAAAGAGTCAATGAAACATAATGTACACGCGTGGCTTTTTAACTCTTTTACGCTATACTATGACTTTTTTTTCCAGCTGTACTGTATTATAACTTTTACGACATTACACTAGGACTATTTTACAGCATACAATAACTTTTAATTACTTTTTACAATTTACAGAGATCTTTTTTTTTTATGACATACGATACAATGCCCTTTTCACGACTTACTATTCTATGACTATTTTATGACTTAACAATGCCTTTTTTATGACTTACAACTTACTATACAATGACTTTTTCACAACTTACTTTACTATAACCTTTTTAGAACTTACTATGCTATGACGTCTTTTACGACTTACTTTTCAATGCCTTTTTTCACAACTTACTGTTCTATGACTTTTAGGCCTTACTATAAGTTTTATGACTTACTATTCTATGACTTTTTCACGACTTACTATACTATGACTTTTTACGACTTATTTTCAATGCTTTTTTTACAACTTAATTTTCTATGACTTTTTCACGACTTACTATACTATGACATTTTTTAACGACATACTCTACCGTGACATTTTTTAGGACATACAATGACTTTTTAAAATTATACTATAACTTAAAAACTTATTTCCAACATTCAGTACTATGAATTTCTTTTACGACTTACTATACTGACTTTTTTTAAGACATACTATATTATGCCTTGTTATGACATACTATACTATGACTTTTGTACAACATACTATACTACAAGTGACTTTTTTTTTTTACAATATTCTTTTTTTTTACGATAAACTATGGTATAAATTTTTTTATGACATAATAGACTGACTTTTTTAACACTACACAATACTTTGACTTTTATGGCATAGCTCTTGACATAAAATATAAATATTATATTGTGACTTTTTTATGACATACCATAACTTTTAATGACTTTTTTACACTATAACTGTTTTTACAACTTACTATAGTGAGTTTTTTACCATATACTGTACTATGACTTTTTAACAGCAGACTAGACAACAGGTGTTTTTTTCAACGACATACTATACCATACAATTTTTTGGACATAATATGACTCAGTAAAACTTTTTTCCAACATTCAAAACTTAAAAAAAAACCATTTATGACATAACATATTAGGTCTTTTTACGACTACACTATTACTTTTTTCCAGCATACTATAATTTTTTTATAACTTTTTTACAACTTACAGTACTACGACTTTTTTATGACATACTTTTCATTCACATCTCATGAATTTCCTCCAAAATACTTTACTGTGACTTTTTTTGTGACTTTTGGGACATACCGGTCTATGACTTTTTTTTTTTTTTTTTTTTTAATACAGCAGACTTGACTATAACTTTTTATGAGGAGTTTTTTTTTCCCAACAACAGACTATACCATGACAATTTTAGGACATACTATGACCTTTTTATAACATAATATATGATAACTTTAAAACTTTTTTCCAACATTCAATACTATAGATTATTTTTTATGACATACTATACTATGACTATATAACAGCATTATTTTACAGTTTACTATACATACCAACTTTTTATAACTTTTAAACTAGATATTATGACTTCTGTACAACATACAAAATGTCTTTTTTAATGACATACTATAACTTTTAATGACTTTTTTTTTACACTGACTGTTTTTTTACAGCATACTATGACTTTTGCAGGACATACTACACTATGACTTCTTTACGAAAAACTATCCTATGACTTTATTATACCGACATACTATACCATGACATTTTTTAGGACATACTATGACTTTTTTTTTTTTTTTACATATGTGCTCAGTGACTTGAATATTTGTGCGTTTGAACTTGAACTGTGATGATGAAGAAGAAGTTTAAGTCATGTCTTGTCATTTATTTAAAGGTCAAAGGTGACTCACTTGGCGGAGAGAATCTTGTGGTCGACGTCGTCCAGCGAGGAGCTGTGAGCTACATGAAACGTTCCAAACAGAGAGCTCCTCTTCTTCTTGATCTTCTCTGCCTAAAGCACCACATCGGATATCATCATCATTATCATCTTCATCATCATCATCATCATCATGCGTGTGTGTGTGTTGCTGTCCTCACCCCCTCTCTGGCCTGCAGCAGCTGCCTCTCTGCGCTCTGCTTCTTGATGTTGTAGTACTGAACCTCCACCTCATGCGTCAGTTGCAGCCACTTCTGCAGAGCCTCAGGTGGAGCCCAGTGAGCCCGTGACTCCAGCTCCCTCTCCGCCTTCTTCAGCGCCATACGGACCTTCCATGTATAGACACACAGAGGTGAGTCTTTATGAACATGAGTGCCCAGTGAAGGCTGATTATCGAAGCCACACCTGCCAACCACCTGACGCCTGTCTACCTGTTCCAGCTCCTCCTCAGCGTATTTCTGTCGGCTCCTCTCGTTCTCAGTTCCTTCTCGGAGCTCTTGGAGCCGCTGAGCTTCCTGTTTGGCCGAGTTGATCTCGCTCCTCAGCTCCTCCTCCACCTTCACCTTCTCCACCTGAACGCAGAGCTGCTCCTCCTGAGCCTTCTGCAGCCTGACGGGACCAACAACAACACGCTGCTGTGATTCACTGTAATGGCTGTGTATTATCCATAAACTCCTCGATATGACGTCACATGAAAAGGAAAACTGTTCGTGTTCACTGACTGAGTGGTGCTGATCAGTAACGATTATGAAATACTAAATAATGACTTTTTTTTTTTTACATCAAACTATTCTATGACTTTTTTTCATCATTTTTAACGACATGCTATACCAACACTTTTTATGATTTTTTGATGACGTACTACCCTGTGTCTTTTTCCACAACAAACTATGAGTGTTTTAGCCACATACAAACTATTCTTTTTTATGACATTTTAACAATAAACGATACAATGATTTTGATATTTTTTTAACAACATATTGAACTATGACGTTTCATGATATTCACGGAGTACAACACTATTATTTTCTGTACGGACATATGACACTATGATGTTTTTAATGTATTTTAACGACATAAGCCCCTTTTCCACCACAGGAACTTTTCTCATTTACCCAGGATTTTGAGAAACCTCGGCATGTTTCCACCGAAATTAGCCGGGGATAAAACTTTGCCTCAACCCAAAACTTTCCCTGAAAAAGTACCTAGCAGGGGGGAAGGATTTTTCAGATTACCCGGAATTTTTGAGGGGCGGGGCTGTGTGCTGAAGAACGCTGATCGGTGGAATACACATATGCAGCATTCCGCACTTCCTGCCACGGGCAGCCGCTGCAAACTTTATTTAATTTCTACAAGCTTCACTTCATTTGTGTTTTTATTAAGGATGGGTACCGAAGCCCGGTACGAAATTAGCCCCGGGGCTAAATTATCAAAGACCGTAGTACTGATGAGCGCTAACGGTTCTTTTGTGCCGGCGCTGAACTCCTCCACACACACACACCCACACACACACACACACACACACACACACACACACACATACACAAGCCTACACAACACTGTAACCGGTGAACAGCTGAGCGGCCGCGGTGGAAACAAAGTGAAGATGACTCGAAAATGACTCAAGTTGACAGCAGCTACACTCATTACTGTAAGTGACATTAAACCTTAGAGAGTAAGAAGCCAATACTTTATCAATACATGTGTTCAGCAGCATGAACATGTAAATTCTAACATGTAGACATGTAGACAGTGATGTTCAATATGCTCCGCCCATAGTCTCTCATCCACCGACACTAACATACTATGACGTTTTTTTGTAGTTTTTGACGACATACTATACTATGACTTTTTTCATGGTTTTTGACGATACGCTATACTATGAAGTTTTTTCATGGTTTTTGACGACATGCTGTACTATGAATTTTTTTTCATGGTTTTTGACGACATGCTATAATATGACGTTTTTTCATGTTTTTGACGGTACGCTATACTATGACTTTTTTTCATGGTTTTTAACGACATGCTATACTATGACGTTTTTTCATGGTTTTTGACGACATGCTATACTATGACTTTTTTTTCATGGTTTTTTACTATGACGTTTTTTCATGGTTTTTGACGACATGCTATACTATGACTTTTTTTTCATGGTTTTTGACGACATGCTATACTATGACTTTTTTTTCATGGTTTTTCACAACATACTACACTATGACGTTTTCTGTGACAAACTTTACTATTTCTACCACCTTCTACTGATTTGTGATATTGGACTTTATAAATAAAATTGACTGATTGATTGATTGATGGATTGATTGATTTTGTCACCATTACTACTCTTCCTTCTTATAAAACACTGCGGAATGCTCCTGATACTGTAACAATAAATTATTTTTTCAAGGTGTTGTTTCTTAAAATGAAAACTGAAATCTGTAAATAAATCTGAAGTATTCATATTGATTGTAATGACTGCTGGTGCCAGCAGGGGACGCTGTGTATCAGTCTCACGGGGAAAGGAGGGTCTGTGTGTGTGTGTGTATCTGAATGTGTTTTTTTTTTTTTACGCAGTGCATGTAACAATAAATGAACTGTACTCAGTCCTGTAACCAGTAGTAGGAATTGTTACTGTAGCAGCAGAAGTACTGCGTGTGTGTGTGTGTGTGTCTTGGTATTTGTGGTTGGAGGAAACAGAAATAAGCAGGAGCTGTGAAATATGTTACAACTCGACTAACACACACGCACACCATTGTTTTTTTCTGTGCAAAGTGTGTGAATGTCTTTGTGTACCTTATTGTGTACATGCAGGTGTGTGTGTGTGTGAGAGAGAGAGAGAGTGTGAGCATACAGACTGAACTGTCGGCTATTCTTTGACCATATAAGGACTTTAAACAGAAAGCTTCTGCAGAGACTGTCCGTCTGCACACACACACTCACAGACGGAGCAGATTAGTTATTTCCTCCTGGTGGCTACAGCTCAGTCAGAGTTTGAAGATAATTAATTTTAATTATATCATAAACAACACAAGTTTCATTCATAATCTGAGCTGAAGCGTTGCCTCAGCAGCTGATCAGTACTGATAGTAGTAATGATAGTGAGACAGTCAGTGGGAACACTGTCATGTGTTCATAGGACTAACAATAATAGTATGAGTAGAAGTAGTAGTAGTAGTAGAAGTACAGTAGTAGTAGCAATGCTGCTGCCAGTGTGGTGGACTCACTTCGCCTGCAGGTCCAGCAGGCTCTGCTCAGCCCTCTGCAGACCCTCCAAATCCTTCACCAGCTTCCCCAGGTCGTCTTTGGACTTCCTATTCTGGATGTAGGCAAACCAGCAGCCACCCAACGCCATCAGGATGGACAGACCCAGAACCAGATCCTTCCACCGGCTGTGTCTGCCTATATGTACACAAACATACATGGAAATCTATAAACCATAAAATGGTCATAGTGATGACCTGTCAAGAATAAAGATTAATGACTTATATTGTAGTGTCATAAAAATCATCCATCATGTATAGTATGTCATCAAAAATCATGAAAAAACATGATCGTATGGCATGATGTCAAAAACCATGAAAAAACGTCAGAGAAAAGTATGTTGTCATGAACCATGAAAAACGTCGTATCGCATGTCGTCAAAAACCATGAAAAAAACGTCATAGTATAGCATGTCGTCATAAACAATGAAAAAACGTCATAGTATAGCATGTTTTTAAAAACCATGAAAATTCATCATAGTATAGCAAGTCGTCAAAAACCATGAAAAAAAACGTCATAGTATAGCATGTTGTCAAAAACCATGAAAATTCATCATAGTATAGCATGTCATCAAAAACCATGAAAAAAAGTCATAGTATAGCATGTTGTCAAAAACCATGAAAATTCATCATAGTATAGCATGTCGTCAAAAACCATGAAAAAAAGTCATAGTATAGCATGTTGTCAAAAACCATGAAAATTCATCATAGTATAGCATGTCGTCAAAAAACCTCATAGTATAGCATGTCATCAAAAACCATGAAAAAAAGTCATAGTATAGCATGTCGTCAAATACCATGAAAATTCATCATAGTATAGCATGTCGTCAAAAAACGTCATAGTATAGCATGTCATTAAAAACCATGAAAATTCATCATAGTATAGCATGTCGTCAAAAACCATGAAAAAATGTCATAGTATAGCATGTAGTTAAAAACCATGAAAATTCGTCATAGTATAGCATGTCGTCAAAAACTATGAAAAAATGTCATAGTATAGCATGTAGTTAAAAACTATGAAAAAACGTCATAGTATATAACATGTAGTTAAAAACCATGAAAATTTGTCATAGTATAGCATGTCGTCAAAAACCATGAAAAAATGTCATAGTATAGCATGTAGTTAAAAACCATGAAAATTCGTCATAGTATAGCATGTCGTCAAAAACTATGAAAAAATGTCATAGTATAGCATGTAGTTAAAAACTATGAAAAAACGTCATAGTATATAACATGTAGTTAAAAACCATGAAAATTTGTCATAGTATAGCATGTCGTCAAAAACCATGAAAAAATGTCATAGTATAGCATGTAGTTAAAAACCATGAAAATTCGTCATAGTATAGCATGTCGTCAAAAACTATGAAAAAATGTCATAGTATAGCATGTAGTTAAAAACTATGAAAAAACGTCATAGTATATAACATGTAGTTAAAAACCATGAAAATTTGTCATAGTATAGCATGTCGTCAAAAACCATGAAAAAATGTCATAGTATAGCATGTAGTTAAAAACCATGAAAATTCGTCATAGTATAGCATGTCGTCAAAAACTATGAAAAAATGTCATAGTATAGCATGTAGTTAAAAACTATGAAAAAACGTCATAGTATATAACATGTAGTTAAAAACCATGAAAATTTGTCATAGTATAGCATGTCGTCAAAAACCATGAAAAAATGTCATAGTATAGCATGTAGTTAAAAACCATGAAAATTCGTCATAGTATAGCATGTCGTCAAAAACTATGAAAAAATGTCATAGTATAGCATGTAGTTAAAAACTATGAAAAAACGTCATAGTATATAACATGTAGTTAAAAACCATGAAAATTTGTCATAGTATAGCATGTCGTCAAAAACCATGAAAAAATGTCATAGTATAGCATGTAGTTAAAAACCATGAAAATTCGTCATAGTATAGCATGTCGTCAAAAACTATGAAAAAATGTCATAGTATAGCATGTAGTTAAAAACTATGAAAAAACGTCATAGTATATAACATGTAGTTAAAAACCATGAAAATTTGTCATAGTATAGCATGTCGTCAAAAACCATGAAAAAATGTCATAGTATAGCATGTAGTTAAAAACCATGAAAATTCGTCATAGTATAGCATGTCGTCAAAAACTATGAAAAAATGTCATAGTATAGCATGTAGTTAAAAACTATGAAAAAACGTCATAGTATATAACATGTAGTTAAAAACCATGAAAATTTGTCATAGTATAGCATGTCGTCAAAAACCATGAAAAAATGTCATAGTATAGCATGTAGTTAAAAACCATGAAAATTCGTCATAGTATAGCATGTCGTCAAAAACTATGAAAAAATGTCATAGTATAGCATGTAGTTAAAAACTATGAAAAAACGTCATAGTATATAACATGTAGTTAAAAACCATGAAAATTTGTCATAGTATAGCATGTCGTCAAAAACCATGAAAAAATGTCATAGTATAGCATGTAGTTAAAAACCATGAAAATTCGTCATAGTATAGCATGTCGTCAAAAACTATGAAAAAATGTCATAGTATAGCATGTAGTTAAAAACTATGAAAAAACGTCATAGTATAGTATGATGTCCAAAGTCATTTATAAAGTCATTGTATAATCAGTTGTAAAAAAGTGATATAATATTGCACTATAGGGTTTCAAATCACACACACACACACACACACACACACCTGGTGGAGGTCCGAACAGCACAATGTCCAGAGCTTTGAGCTGCAGTTTCTGAGCATGACTCCTGTCCAAGATCTTCAGCAGGGACACAGTCAGGGTGGTGTTCTTCACCGCCAGCCTGTAACACAGCGGGTGGAGGTCAGGACATGTGGCGTGGCAGCTCAGGACTCAGAGACTCTCCGACATATAATATCTGATATCTGAGAGTGGAGACCTGCAGCAGACTGTTGTAGAAACATTACGGACCAAACACAACTGAAAAACTAACCCTCAGCAGGGACCAGGAGGAAGTTCTGTCATTGAGATTTAGCAGTAACAGGTCTGTGATGCTCTTAGATGTCCGGAGCTGCATGAGCGCCACACTGAGCGTTTCAGCCTGTGTCTACCCTTCGCCAAGAGGCGTGGGTCACCTGCTGAACCCCACTTGTGATAGGGACTGGGGACTGCAGTTAGCTCCCATGAACGAGGAATTTCTAGTACGTGGGGTCATAAGTTCGCGTTGATTAAGTCCTTGCCCTTAGTACACACCGCCTGCCTGTTGCTACTACTGGATGGTCTAGTGAGGTCCTTGGTTCGTTCCCGTCAGAGTCAGTCACGGCCCTGGCGGATCGCCAAGAAGATGATCAAACTTGACTATCTAGAGGACGTAAAAGTTGTAACAAGGTTCCCGTATCATTACTGGTTCGCCAGCCTGGTCTGAGCCGGCGACATGAGTCGCAGGGACGGCTGGCTCGGATCTCCACAGATGTCTCCGAGAAGCTGAGGCAGCACAGTGCACGTCCAACATCACTTGGGGCCTCTCGTCCGTTCCTGCGCCAGTGGCTGCCAGGTGGGGTGGGGTGGGGTACCTCCACGTGGCGGGTGGCCCTGTACATTTGTCGCAGGGGCCTCTCGTCCATTTCTGCACCGGTATGCCGTAACAGGGGGGAATGGCTGCCAGGTGGGGTGGCGTGGGGTACCTCCACGTGGCAGGTGGCCCTGTACGTTTGTCGCAGGGGCCTCTCGTCCATTTCTGCACCGGTATGCCGTAACAGGGGGGAATGGCTGCCAGGTGGGGTGGCGTGGGGTACCTCCACGTGGCAGGTGGCCCTGTACGTTTGTCGCAGGGGCCTCTCGTCCATTTCTGCACCGGTATGCCGTAACAGGGGGGAATGGCTGCCAGGTGGGGTGGCGTGGGGTACCTCCACGTGGCAGGTGGCCCTGTACGTTTGTCGCAGGGGCCTCTCGTCCATTTCTGCACCGATATGCCATAATGGGGGTAATGGCTGCCTGGAGGGGGCAGTGCAGGGTGCCTCTGCACAGCGGGCACTTCATCCCCCCTAGTCTGGGCCCTGTCATGATCGGACGTATCTCTCCCCGACCTCTTCGCAGCCCAAGGTGGTGCGCGCCAACGCCACCATCTGAGGGCTGACAGACACGACATCAGCCTGCCTGCTGGTGGAGGAGGCTCCGGGGTACCTATCCGGTGCTCTGGGAGCGGCCCGCCCTACTGAACCTCAAGCGTCAACACAGTCTTGGCAGCCTCACCATGATCGTCCCTCCACATGCCTTGGAGGAAGAGGGAGGTTTAATGTCTTCAGTAGTGTCCCCTCCCGGGGGCGTGACGGTGCAGAGCGCCCGGGGTTCTGTTTCTTAGGTTAAAACCCTCTGTCTGCGAATCTCGGCCTCCAGAAGCAAAACCAAAAACTGTCACAATTCTTAGCGGTGAATCGATGATAAACACAGCTAGGTGCGAGAACTAATGTCAACTGTGAACAGCTGATTTATTGAAGTTTCTCACCAAAAGCTACATTTTACAAGATTACATTGAACACATCATGAGAATGTTGTAATTTCCCTTCGTCCAATTCTGATTTTTACTTAACAGAGCTTGAACGCCTCACAGTGTAAATCAATGTAAACCTCTGTGAGCTGTTGGTTGTGTCCATCAGCTGCTGAGAGGTAACAATGACTAGCTGCTAACAGCTAACAGCTAACATAGCTAGTTCTCCTCCTGCTGATGTCATGTTCTTTCTCTCCGCTCACTCCTCTCAGTCGTGTCGTGTAGTTGAGTTGTTTGACATGATAATGATACAGCGTGTTTTGGGGTTCACGTGGTGTCGGATAACTCCGCCCACCTCCCCCAGAGAGCCTATATTGCCTGTGACCCCTGGTTTGGTCCTTTAAGTTACTTCTTCTTTTCTTCATAACTCAGTGAAACGTGAACACACAGACAGAGAACACATCATTTTAGATTCAGTGTGACTTCCACTTCCTGATGACATCATTATCTCTAATGTCCATCTAAAATAAACGTCCATAAATCCTCTTAGAAACCACCAAAGAACAGATGCTGCAGAACCTGCCTGAGAATCTTCATGTTTTAACTTCCCATCAGTGTCACAGTGACCCAGTGACAGCTGTGTGAACGTACGTGGGTTCACTGTGAACAGGAAGTGCTGACTGATAATTCGGCTCACTTATGATGGTGCTAATTCGCACCATGGCAACAAAGCATTGTGGGAAGTGTAGTTGTGTACCTGGGTAAGGCCTTTCCATCCAGCTGGTGTTTCCTGAAGGCCTCTGTGTACTGAGGAAGCTCCACGCTGACGACCAGCCAGTCCACCACCTGCTCCACCGTCCAGTTATACACTGGGACACAGAGACAGAGACAGGGACAGGGACAGAGACAGGGACAGAGACAGCGGCAGAGACAGGGACAGGGACAGAGACAGAGACAGAGACAGAGACAGGGACAGAGACAGGGACAGTTAATAGAAACAGGGACAGAGACAGGGACAGGGACAGTTAATAGAAACAGGGACAGAGACAGGGACAGAGACAGAGACAGGGACAGGGACAGAGACAGGGACAGTTAATAGAAACAGGGACAGAGACAGGGACAGAGACAGAGACAGGGACAGGGACAGGGACAGAGACAGGGACAGGGACAGTTAATAGAAACAGGGACAGGGACAGAGACAGGGACAATTAATAGAAACAGGGACAGAGACAGAGACAGGGACAGGGACAGAGACAGGGACAGGGACAGTTAATAGAAACAGGGACAGGGACAGAGACAGGGACAGTTAATAGAAACAGGGACAGAGACAGGGACAGAGACAGGGACAGGGACAGTTAATAGAAACAGGGACAGGGACAGAGACAGGGACAGGGGCAGAGACAGGGACAGGGACAGTTAATAGAAACAGGGACAGAGACAGGGACAGAGACAGAGACAGGGACAGGGACAGTTAATAGAAACAGGGACAGAGACAGGGACAGAGACAGAGACAGGGACAGGGACAGGGACAGTTAATAGAAACAGGAACAGAGACAGGGACAGAGACAGAGACAGAGACAGGGACAGGGGCAGAGACAGGCACAGAGACAGGGACAGAGACAGGGACGGAGACGGAGACAGGGACAGAGACAGGGGCAGAGACAGGGACGGAGACGGAGACAGGGACAGAGACAGGGACAGAGACAGAGACAGGGAAAGGGGCAGAGACAGGGACGGAGACGGAGACAGGGACAGAGACAGAGACAGGGACAGAGACAGAGACAGGGACAGGGGCAGAGACAGGGACGGAGACGGAGACAGGGACAGAGACAGAGACAGGGACAGAGACAGAGACAGGGACAGGGGCAGAGACAGGGGCAGAGACAGGGACAGAGACAGGGACAGGGACAGAGACAGGGACAAGAACAGGGACAGAGACAGGGACAGGGACAGAGACAGGGACAGGGACAGGGACAGAGACAGGGACAGGGACAGAGACAGGGACAAGAACAGGGACAGAGACAGGGACAGAGACAGAGACGGAGACAGGGACAGAGACGGAGACAGGGACAGAGACAGGGACAGAGACAGAGACAGAGACAGGGACAGAGACGGAGACAGGGACAGAGACAGGGACAAAGACAGTTAACAGGTTAACATCTGCTGGGACACGTCCGTCTGTCTCCGTGACCATGTGTCCATACTGTCCCTGCTATAAATAAACATGTTCTTCTTCATGTGTCTGTTTTGACGTCACGTCTGAGACAAACTGAGCCGGAAAATTAAGTGAAGCTGAAAATAGGATTTTATTTTTATACTCAATGAGCCGTTCTGCTCGTTAGTCCCCTCTGTCTGTCTGTCTGTCTGTCTGTCTGTCTGTCTGTCTGTTTGTCTGTCTGTCTTTCTTTCTCTCCTCCCTTTGTTCCCTCTTTCATTAATTTACACTTCAGTCTTTCTTTCCTTCCTTCTTGGCTTCCTTCTTTCTTTTTCTTTCTTTCTTTCTTTTCTTCCTTCTTGACTTATGCCACTTTTGTCTTTCTTCCCTTCCTTCTTCTTCTTAACTTTCTTTGTTTCTCTCTCTCTCTCTCTCTCTCTCTCTCTTTGTTTCCTAGTTCTTTCATCCTTTCCTACTTTTCTTTTGCATTTCTTTCATCCATTTTTTCCTCACCATCTTTTTTCTTCTTTCTTTCCTATTTCTTCTTTCCTGTTTTTCCTACCTTGCTTCTTTTCTTTCTCTCCTCTTTCTTTCTCCTTTCCCTTTGTAGTTTTTAATTCCTCTTCACTTTCAACTTTCATTTTCCTTTCCTTCCTTCTTGCCTTGTTATACTGTATTTATTCCCTTCCTGCCCTCATTTTTCTTTCTTTCTTTCTTTCTTTACCTTTTACTTCTTCTCTTTCTTTACTACTTTGCTTCCTTTGTTTCTTTCCTACCTTCCTCTTTCTTTCTTCTTCCGCTTGTCCTTTGTAGTTTTTTAATTTCCCTTTTCATTTTCAACTTTCCTTTTCCTTTCATTTCTTTCCTTCCTTCTTGCCTCATGTCACATTGTATTTATTCCATTTTTTCTTCTTCTTCCCTTATTTTTCTGTCTTCCTTCCTTTCTCTCTTTCTTTCATCTTTTCTTTGATCTTTCATCCCTTTTAACACTTTCATCTTATCTTTTCCCTTTCATTATTTCCTTTCCTCTTTCTTTCCTTCTTTCTTGACTTATGTCACTGTTTACCTTCTTTCCTTCCTCCCTTCCTTCTTTCTTTCTTTCTTACTTTCCTAACTGCCTTCTTTGCTTTCTTCTTTCCTGTATATCCTACCTATCTTCCTTTCTTTCCTTCCTTCTTGACCTATGTCACTTTTTATTTCTGCCCTTTCTCCTTCTTTCCTTTCTTTTGTTCTTTCTTTCTTTCATTCCTATTTCTTTTTCCCTTTCTGTCCTTCCTTCCTTCCTTCTCTTTCTTTCCTTGTGTTTCCTCTTTTTCACCAATCCTTCCTTCCTTCTTCCTTTTGTTCTTTCTCATCCCTTCTTGAATTATCCTTCCTTCCTTCTGTCCTCCTTCCCTTCTTTTCCATCTCTTGTTCCTTCTTCCCTTCTGTCCTTTTTTGTATTCCTTTCTTTCCCCTTCTTTCTTTTCTGTCCACTTTTTCTGGCCTTCCTGTCTTCCTGTCTCCTTCCTCCCCTCCGCTCTTCATCCCTTTCTCTTCTGCTCTCCTCCTCCCTTCCTTCTTTTAAAGAACTTTCCAGAGCAGATAAATCTTATATCTTCTGACATCTTTAAAACAACATGAACCTTAAAGTTCGGATTTCTAAAATGAGGTTTGGTTCTGTGAGTCGAGGTGATGATGTCATTGTTTTGTTTACAGAGTAAGAGTTGTTTTGTTTACAGAGTAAACAAAACAACGCTGAGCAGAGATGATGCATCGCTGTTTGTGTTTACTGAGAGGAAACCTCACATCTCTTTGACTCGTGAGTTCCTCTGATGATGTTTGTTGCTGTTTTTTCCTTCAGCTCAAACAGACGTCTGACTGTTTGTGTGAAAATGGAGGAACTTAAACACGCTGCTGGTTCTGTTGATGCTAACATGCTAACATGCTAATGCCAACATACAGACTGTTTATGAACCAATAAGACGACAGAAAACAGAATTAGTTCCTTTAGAATTAACGGTTGTATGACTCCGCCCACCAGTCCACCCTGTGGTTGTATGACTCCGCCCACCAGTCCACCCTGTGGTTGTATGACTCCGCCCACCAGTCCACCCTGTGGTTGTATGACTCCGCCCACCAGTCCACCCTGTGGTTGTATGACTCCGCCCACCAGTCCAGTGTCTCTGACCGTCTCCATCCATGTCAGTGAAAACATGGATGCTTCACACACAGAAGATCTATACAATCAGCACAGTTTCAAGATTAGAGTCACCAATTCAGTATCTGACCAAATGTCTCCCCTTCTGTTCCTGAGATATGACGTTAAAACATGATGATGTCACAGTCAAGCTGACCTTTGACCTTTTGACCTTCATTATTTTATCCTGTTAGACATTTGTGTCAAGTTTGGTCACAATTAGTGGATGAATTCTTCAGTTATGGCCAAAAACATGTGTTTTGAGGTCACACTGACCTTTGACCATCGGTCATCACATTCTAATCAGTTCAATCTTGAGTCTAAGTGGATGTTTGTGCCAAACTTCAGAAAATTCCCTCACGTCCTTCTTCAGATATCAGGTTCACAAGAATGAGACAGATGCCAGGCCACAGTGACCTTGACCTTTTATCTTTGACCACCAAAATCTAATCAGGTCATTCTTAAATCCAGGTGAATCTGTGCCAAATTTGTAGAAATTCCATTGTGGCGTTCTTGAGATATATTGCATTCTCAAGAATGAGACAAATGCAAGTTCACAGTGACCCTGATCTTTGACCACCTAAATCCAATCAGGTCATCCTCAAGTCCAAGTGGACGTTGGTGCCAAATTTGACAAAGATTCCATCAAGGCTTTCTTGAAATATTACGATCACCAGAATGAGATGGACACAAGGTGATACTGACCTTGACCTTTGACCACCAAAATCTAATCATTTCATCACTGAGGACGTTTGTGGCAAATTTGAAGAAATTCCCTCCAGCCGTTCTTGAGATATTGCGTTCACGAGAATGAGACAAATGCAAGTCTACAGTGACCTTGACCTTTGATATTTAACTACCAAAATCTATCAGTTCATTATTTGGTCCAAGTGGACGTTTGTGCCAAATTTGAAAAAAATCCCTGATGGCCGTTTTGAGATATCACATTCAGAAGAATGAAGTAAAGAATGACAGTTATCAGTTTGCAGATATCTCTGAATAATGTCTCGTCGGTGCAGCTCTCACCTTCAGAGCTCTTCCAGGTGCTCCACATGTCCTCCACACTGATGTGCAGGTCGGCTCGGTGGAAGCTGCTCTGCGCAGCTTTGGGGTCCTGATATTTCAGATCCTCCCTGAGAAACTGAGGGGGGAGGGACGGTAGAGGGACAGAGGGGGAGGGACAGAGGGGGAGGGACGGGGGGTGAGACATCAACAAGAGGATTTTCCATCAATTAGTCTTCACTAAGGACAGTCAGGGTCTCTGTGAGCTCTGCAGGCGCGCAGGAGAAAAGGACGTTTTCAGTGCAGAAAGAAGGACAGTATTCTTTTTCTGGTGTTTCTGTCTCACCTCGTCCGTCTCCATGGTGTCCACCGTGCCGTCTGCATCGTCGTCCATCTGTTTGTGGATGCTGCAGATCGCCTCAAAACTCAGGAGCGAGTTTTCATCCTGACAGAGCTGCTCATCTATTGCACACAGATCTATAACACAGGAATACATATATTATTATTGTCATTATTATTATTATTATTATTATTGTCATTATTACCAGTAGTACTGTTATTTTTCTAAACATAATGATTATAATACATCTCCAACAGGCGGAAGGTATCAAAGTATATTAGTGTGCAAGAGGACATTTTGAGAAAATGAAAATGTTTTTTAAAAGCAGAAACCTGCTGATACAGATTTGCTCAGATTTAATTTAGTATTTGTAGGTAATAAATACTCTGTAAATATCATTTCTGTGGTCTCAAAAATAATCTCCTCTCAGAGGAATTTTCATCGAGCATGCAAACACACTGCAGTGTTGTGTTCCTGCCCGTCCAGCAGGTAAAGACTCTGAGTCTGTGTCAGTTTGACAAACGTCTCCGTTCCCTGGAGCCAAAAACAGCAACAGGACAAGTAAACATCCATCTTTTCTGGCTGCCATCTTTGTTTGGGTCAGAGAACGGAGACGCATCACAGCTCTGCTTCACTGAACTCCTGAGAACAGCGGAGGAAGAATTACTGATGACTGCTGAAGTAAAAATAGAAATATCGCACCATGAAAATACTCTGAATTTATTATTTTACTCAAAGTACAAAAGAGACACAGTAGAACTTTCTAAAGACATGCTGGGAAAGTAAAGCAGAGGAAAAATATGCAGCAGAGTGCAGTAAAGAAACCCAGAAGAGGACGGTCAGGAAAATCAGTGAGCGCAGAAACTGCAGTAGAGTAAAGAAAAGTAAAGAAACAATAGAGTAAAGAAAGAAACCTGACAGCAGTAAAGAAACAAAGTGGACCGTAAAGAAAGCAGCGAGTGCAGTAGAGGACAGTGAAACCAGCAGCAGTGTACAGCAACAGCCTCAGTTCCTGTTAGCCTCAGTTAGCAGCTAGCATCCACCGTCATCCATCACATCACACTTCACATCACATCTTCTACTGCTGCCACATCTTCTACTGCTGCCACATCTTCTACTGCTGCCGCCGTTGCCATGACAACAGAGGCAGTTTTAAACAGATCAGAGTGAGAACTTCATTCATGACTACATTTGGTCATTTCAGCCTCCAGAACGTCTCTGAGAGTCTCTGCATGATCGCTCAACTGAGAGTGTGTGTGTGTGTGTGTGTGTGTGTACATTTTTAAAGGTTGTTTCTGATGATTTGTGAGTCAAACTTTAAATCCAGTACCTGTACTGTAACTCTCTATTATCAGGTAGCTCTAGTAAGTCCTTAAAAACTCTCCAGCTAATTCAGAATGCAGCAGCACGTGTACTAACAGGAACTAAGAAACAAGATCATATTTCTCCTGTTTTAGCTTCTCTGCACTGGCTCCCTGTAAAATCCAGAATTGAATTTAAAATCCTACTGTTAACTTATAAAGCTCTAAATGGTCAAGCTCCGTCATATCTTAGAGAGCTCATAGTGCCATATTATCCCACCAGAACACTGCGCTC